GCAGTAAGTACCGGAAGGCGGGGCCATAGACAGGTCAGGCTCTTTGACTACCCTTTCGGATGTTACACAAATAAGCAGAAATAAAATCAGGCTTTTCTCCGGGTATCTAACGGGCCAGCCTTGGCCAGGCAAAGATTAACTTTCTTCGAACCTTAATTGTTCAAACCCTTATTAAGGCGCTTTAGGATGGTCTTGGAAGCCCGATCTCACCATGATCTATTCTACTCTCCCCAGATCAAGCCGGAACACTCCAGCCAAGGACAATCGCAAATATGTACCTTTTTCCTCTAGGGAGCCGCGTATACGCAGTAAATTTTTGATAACCGCAGATTTATGCGGAATAAAATATTACAAATTGAAGTGAAATTAATATTTTAAGAAAACAACTACCATCGTTGATTGCAATTCATCAATTTAAGCTTGTATTTAACGAAAAATTACACACATAAACAATCTTTGCGATTGTCAAAATTTTCTATGCATTTGTCAAAAATTTCACTAGCCTCATGAGCAAGGCACATTAAACAGGTAGTATCAGTAGAGCAAAAACAACATTTGCGTGTATTTTGTTGTTGCTTCTGGTATCGAAAGTGTCAAAAACTGTTCTGAATTTTTTCTTCTAAATCAAAGCGTGCCATGTGAAATACAAAAAATTATAAAAAATAAAAAATTAAAATTGGAAAAAATAAAAATTTATGCAACGTTCCTTCCTAGTAAATTTGTTTGCTTCTCGAAGCATTGATCCATCCTTTGCAAGGCCCAGTAATCAGCGGTCGTGCTGCCGAGTTGGGCGAACGTTCCAAAAGCTGCTATTCAATCGCTTGTTTTGTATGCATGCAAATGGATTTTAACAATTCAGAATTTTTGTGAGAAAAAATTAAAAATATTTGACATTTTCGAGACCAAATAATTTGAAAATAAATCAAATCAGCTGCTCTACTGATACTACCTGTTCAATGTACCTTGCCTCATGAGCTACTGAAATTTTATTCACCTCATAGTTGTCAAAAATTTACTCGCCGCGAACTTTGTTGCCGATTCACACATGCTCATACCCTGCAAAAATCGTTGGACCATGTAGTCCATTTGTGGTATATTGGAGTACTTACAAAAATGTTCCTCTGTCATGCTGTAGAGGACCAACTCGTGTCTCTGCGCCAGCTTATTGTTTGTTACCCGACAACTGCTCGTGTTTTAACGAAATGTGATTGAAGTTGAGCATTTGAAAGCACATTTGCATGTCTGGCTGTAGCTGAACGTGTAGAGATGCTCGCTGTTAGTTGTGAGCTCCCAGCATGTTCGGGTTCAAATGCCGTCAGAGGCAACATGTAATTTTTAATTTTTGTCTTGGGTTTTATTAATTTCGAAAAAGCATATGAGAAGTGAAGAACAAAAGCGTGTACAAACGAAAAAATACAACAACAATGCCATTGTTAATATGTTGGAGTAGTTTTGTGCTACTCTGATGTAATGCAGGGATGGAGTATATGGTCCTGCCCTAGGACATCGCAATGTTAATTGGACCATATTTTTTATATGAATTGTGGTTAATTTTGGAGTATTCCTTGGTCCTTAGGGAGTACTCTTTACACGTATGCATGGAGTAGTCGCGATTTTTGCAGGGTAGTGAAAGAAAATGTTGAATTTCATAACTTTTCAAAAATTACCAATATTTTAAATCAAAGCTCTCTAATTCCTCAGTTCAGGAATACGCCGAAAATCTCTATTCACGGCTGCTATGCAACTCTGCTGCTGAAAGAATGCGTTTAGCAAAACAAAAATGAAAATCAGCTGTCCATAGGTGACAAAAGGCGAAGTGAATAAATTTTTCGTGCTGGATAAGAGAAAATCCATTTATAAATAAATAATTTTTGTATAAAAAGCATTGCTTACTGTGTGGAAGCATGCTCGCAGATGTGGACGTATTCATATCCAACTATACGCTAGTAGATCCAGAAATATACCAATTATGGATAGAGGGATTTTCCTGTAAGTGGCACCGTGCAGTGTAGAGTGGCACAGTTTAATAAACTTTGTGTAAATTTTAACATTTCAGCAAGTGAGGCCGTTTGCTACTTGAAGCAGAAGGGTTTTGGCAGCTTGTTTGGAGCACCAATCGATCTGATTGCATCCGATGTGCTGGATCATTATCGTACTTACTCGCTCATAGAGCGTCTGCTGCATGCGCCCACAAAATTACTTGAGCAGTCTTGTTTCCAGTTGGAGCCGCAAACGCGTGATTTGATTATTGAAAAGTAAAATAAATAATAAGGAAGCGATACTTTTACTGATATATTTGTATTTAAATAGGTACTACTCCATCGATGATGCAGTGGCGCGAGAAATTCTAGGCAAGAAGCTGTCATCGCGCTATAGAAAGGATCTCGATGAGGTGGCGGAAAAGACTTGCGTGAAGCTAAAGTCGTGCAGGTTTGTTGTGGTTGTGTTTTTGTAAGTTCCTGCCATTTATAAAGTTTTTTTTGTTTATAACAGACGCCAATTTGACAACGTTAAACGCATTTTTAAGGCAGTGGAAGAGTTACCTGGCAATATCACCAACAATATTAAGCAGCTATTTTCCGTTTCGGATGGATTGGCCAAGTGAAAATAATTAATTTAATACAAATTGTCGGCCTTTAAATAATTTTTTATTCTTGCATTTTCCCAGAAAATATGCTTCTATAGTATTTCTTGCTTGCTTACGTTTTGAAACCTCTAAGAAAAAGTTGCAGTATTTAACCTTTTCCGACTTGTTTGCTTGCTCGCAAGCCATTATGATTTATTGGACGTATACCTATCAGCATTCTGGTCCTGAGTATTACGATACAGAAATGGACAAAGAATTTCTGCTGGATTTGCGTGAGCTGCGTTGCCTATTGGATAAAGAGAAGGAAATCAAGCAGTAAGTAACATATCTGCTAGCTAGTGATTTAATATAAATTTTGTTTTTCATATGTATTTACAGTCTAGTTTGCTTGCGTTTAAAGCCAGTTCTGTTGGAGCGTGCTTACTTTGAGCTGGACAACAGCTTCCGGTAGCTACTAGTTTTTTAACATTAAAGTTCTTCCACTACTTACTTTTACTTAACTGCAGCTCCTACTGGCGCGCATTTATTACTATTGCTTGCAATTTACATCGTAATCGTGAATTGCGTGACTTATTTTTGGATCTTTGTGAGAAATTAATAGAACCATGGCGTCAAAATGGCTGGAGCCGAGAACAAGTAAATAAATTTTTGTCGGCCATAACGCAAAGTGTTTTGGATTTGGAAATTTCACGGTGAGTCATAAATAAAAGTAACAATATGTTTGTATGATTATAATAGCGCTAAACAGATGAATAGTGAAACATATAGTATAATGGAACGCAAGTGCCATTTTATCAGCAAAAATGTGTCTAAATTTTCCAAAGCCAAACCAGTCTGCACAAATACCTTTTATTACAATCTTTAGCTTAAATTCTGAATGACTTTCAAACCTGATGCATCGAATAACCAGCGGCAATGTTTAGCTCTCTGTTTTTCGACGGGAGATAATCATATTAACTGAATTTTAACGTTAATGCTATACAAAACTTGCGTTATTTTGGTTCTTAAAGAAAACATTTTCTACCTTTTACTTTCTCTTTCATTGCAAACAACTACTTTTGCCACAGTGACCAAGAAACGCGTTGCCTTTGGGATCGCTACATGCAGGTCATCAGCATTTGTTTGGACAGGATGTATCATATTTAATTCAACTAAGATGCCTCGTTTTTGTGTTGTTCAAAAATGTGTTGTCTCTCTTTTAATCACGGCTATCACTGAATTCGTCGTAGTCCGAATTTTTGTGAAATCTATGAAGCTGCTATCACTGAATCCCAATAGCTACGAACAAAGCATACACTTCGAGTTCATACGTTCGTAGCAATTCGGATTCCGTGATCGCATTTTCGTGCATTTTACGAAAATCGGGCGACGATGGTTGCAGCGATAGCCCAGATTTAATTTATAGTTCGAAAGTAATTTAATGACTAAAAAATTTAGATGTTAAAATGCAATGTGTTGTATTTAAATTTTAAAAACATTAAAAGCGCAGCATGACATTTTATAAAAAGTCTTTTTCCAATATGAAATATGGAATGCGACGGGTTTTTACTTTGGTATTGTGTTGTTCAGTACAACAACCACTTCAACTAATGTCAGCTGTGTTAGCAATATATTTCTTTTCATTTACATTTAAAAAACGGTATTTAGTTCACTTTTGTCGTGTTTTTTTACACAATTACCCACATTATTTATATTATTATTTATTATTTTATAATATTGCAATTTGTGTATTCACAATACATGAAAACAATATTACAGAGCAAAAACCTTCTCACATTATACTCCACACAACGATTTAATTAAAGAAATTTAACGGGGAGTTGCTTAACTATGTATGTTTATAAATAGAAATGTTAAAGTTAAACAATCGTCGATACATAATGGTTTTTGTCGCAAAGAAAATGATTTTCTTCTCTTCAATTTGTTTTGTTTAATTGCGTTTTTTTTTAGTTATATTTATTAAGAGTTTTACTGCTATATTAATAAAAAGAATAAAGTGCTATAAAAGTAGTAATTAAAATTTTTGTGGAAGAAGTTATTGGTTTCTATGCTCATTTATATTATTATATTATTATATTATTTTCGTTTAGATTTTATTTATTATATACACCATTCTCCCCATCAAAGGCGAAATATGCAGCTTTTGAAAGCTTTTTCTTCGCAATCACTCGCTTAGTGGTGAGCTAAACCCAAGGCACGTCAAACACGCACTCCAGCAAGTGCAAAGCTTTTGTACGCCTCAATGATTTCTTTCGTAGGTTGGCAAGGTAGTAAACAAGCAGTGGGGGTGGAAGATTTGCTAGTACTGGCATTTGCAGATGCATAGATACAATTGGCAGCAACCGCCCCCCACCCTATGCCAACCAACTCGAGAGTTGTGCAAAAGTTCACAGCAATGATTTCCAATTGTCAAATGCATTTTTCCATTCCTCATACTCACTGAAGCCTATGAACTGTTCTGAGTTAAGCTAGTTTTTGCAAATTCATTTGTAATGCAGTTGTAATACAGAAAAAAGGTAACTGCAACAAATTTTGGGATTCTTAAGTGATTGTTTTCAAAAGTTTAAATTAGAGTGATATTAAACCATACATTTTGAAGCAAGAGTTATAAAATCCGTGGAGCCATAAAAAAGGTGATTCGATGGAACGTAATCTGTAAACATATTTCAGTGGAAATTCGTCTGATTGCAAAACGTTAAAGAAGCGATAGACGCTATTGCAACATATGAAAGTGATTTTTGGTAGTTTAACTTTAATAAGGAAGTCCTTGTGAGTTTAATTGATACCAAAGACGGTTTTTGAAACCTCATAAGAGAAATTATTGGCGAGCGACATACAAAGCAAGCGTGTATCAGCGACCAGGCACAATTTCCAACCCACAAAATTAGTGCTTGCGGCGCGACCATGGAGGAAGTGGACGATGAAACATTCGACGATGCCAAATCTACGCGCACCTCAGATGAGAATCGCAAGTAAGTTTCATTAAATAAACTAATAACTGAGAAATATTGCATCCTAACACCTTTTATTTTCATATTTGCAGGCAAAACCACAGTGAGATTGAGAAGCGTCGACGCGACAAAATGAATACCTATATAAATGAGCTGTCATCCATGATACCCATGTGCTATGCAATGCATCGGAAGTTAGACAAGCTAACAGTACTTAAATACACAGGTCAGATATAGATGCATACAGTATCCTTGCTTAGTAGTTTATAATTGCATTCTCATTTTTGCTTTTTTTTCAACTGACTTGCAGTGCAACACCTGCGTGGCATACGCGGCAGCGTGCATCCATATAGTGGCGGCGATTATAAGCCCTCTTTTCTATCGGATCAGGAACTTAAAATGCTTATACTCCAAGCATCCGAGGGATTTCTCTTCGTGGTGGATTGTGATCGCGGACGCATTCTATATGTTTCCGAATCAGTGTCGCAAGTGCTAAATTGTTCGCAAATGGATTTACTCGGGCAAAGTTGGTTTGATATTTTGCATCCAAAGGATGTGGCTAAAGTAAAGGAACAGCTTTCTTCGTTGGATCCATGCCCGCGGGAACGCCTAATTGATGCTAAAAGTAAGTGTAAAATCTAGATTTAAATTGCTACAAAAGTATTAACAACAAATCTTATACTTGCCTCTACTTAATCATATTTTTCTTTCTCCAGCCATGCTACCCGTCAAAAGCGACATTCCACAAAGCCTTTGCCGCCTCTGTCCGGGCGCGCGTCGTTCTTTCTTTTGTCGCATGAAACTCAAATCAAATAACAACCAAATAAAAGAAGAATCAGACACATCCTCGAGCTCACGCAGTTCTACAAAGCGCAAATCTAAGCTAAGTGTTGATCACAAATATCGTGTTATACAATGTACTGGTTATTTGAAGTCATGGACGCCAATAAAAAACGAAGATCAAGATAGCGAGAGTGAAGATAATCTGACGAATCATTCCAGTTTAGTGGCTATTGGACGAATACCGCCGAATGTTTTGGAATCAAATGTGCCACCATCATTGGACAACCATCCTAACATTAGGCATGTGCTATTCATCTCAAGACACTCCGTGGATGGCAAATTTTTATTCATTGATCAAAGGTACACAAAGGCAAACGTTTTTGGGTAGCATAATTTATTTTAAGAATTGCATTTTCTTTTAGAGCCACAATCGTCATTGGTTTCTTGCCACAAGAAATGCTTGGCACCAGCTTTTACGATTACTTTCATCATGAGGATATTCCTGCATTGGCGGAGTCACATAAAATGGTCATTCAAGTGCCGGAGAAGGTAACCACGCAGGTTTATCGTTTTCGCTGCAAGGACAGTAGTTTCATACAACTGCAGAGTGAATGGAAGGCTTTCAAAAATCCTTGGACAACTGATATTGAATATATAATTGCGAAAAATACGGTTTTCCTCTGAATACTTCTCCGGCGGCTTTGCTATTTATTCGTAGAGTGAATATTTCGTAATCTAATGGAAACGACTTAAAAGTTTACTTTTCTACACATACTAGTGTGTTTTATAAGTATGTATTTTCATATTAGATTTAAGTTCATCGCGTAAATATTTTGCATAAATTCATACAAAGATGCTCTAGCGGAGGTTCGCAAATAAAAATTCATCATTTACACATTCTTGTGTGTATAAGAAAGAAAAATTGCGTACAAACAATATTTTTTGTTATCTAATTTGGATTTAATTGCAGCCTAGTAAGGAAATAAAATGCCCGTTGTTGTTGTAGAGGCCCTGTCTAGACTAGCTAGTTGTTGTTACTGTTGTTGTTGTAGCGGCTACAACAACCCCGCCCAGATCGGTTGATATCTCAGTCGTTGTCGTCAAGTTCCACTAACTGTCTGAGGCTTCGTCCACTGCATCCTACTAGTCCCCGGCGACCACACTGGTGCTGCGTAGTTGAAAACCGGCCGGCCTACTGCGTTCCCACGATAGCTGGTTCTACGTACCGGAATGACTCGGGTTTTACCCGACCAAGGGCTGTTGTTTCGGCGATCTAACCCCGTTTAGGTCGGCGATGAATCTCTGGACTAGCTAGTCTCTCAATTTTGTTGTTGTTGTTGTTGCTGTTGTTGTAACAGAAAAATTTTTAGAGAGTGTTGCTGGAGTGACAGTCGAGTGGTCAGATATAAATCTGGGTCGTTCCAGTTACGTAGACCCGACTGTCGTGGGAACTTTGTCCTCGAGGTCAATTAATGATAGGTCCAGGAAACGCGTTGCTTTGATCGGGTCGGACAAAAGGTAGTGTTATTAACTTAGTGCGCTTAACGGGGCTTGTGAAGAGGTGTTTAGTCTCATTGAGTTTGTAGCTTTTTCCATTTGTTCAGATAACCAAACTCGATCTATAGTTTAGAACTGACCTTGTATGTTGTGAACAACGGTTTTTGTTGTAGCATCAATGCTCAACACCCTACTGACCTCTTCAAGTGGTGTCCTCCTCATCCCCTGACTCTACAAACCTGAGGCCGAAAAAGCGGGCGACGTCGATGGGTGCAGCCCATAATGCTTTCGAAGTCAGGGCTCTCGTGTTAGGTTTAAGCGGTGAGGAGTAGGTTTTGTGACGACCTTACCCTCGTCCGGCCAGATGTTGCCCTTTTGAGTTCAGCAGAGAGAGGAAGCTGTGATTACTTTGCTGCTTTACAGTACTTAGCTGTCTTACTTGTTGTAGCGGCTACAACAACTCCGCCCAGATCGGTTAATATCTCACTCGTTTTCGTCAAGCTCTACTAACGGAGGCCCTAAGAAGCATGCATCCTTAATCGGGTCGGTCCATAGAGACAAAGGCGTTAGTGTTGTCGGGTTTTCCGGGCATACGAAGAGATGTTTCGAGTCGTGGGGTATCTCCGCATTCCGGACGCTCATTTGGCACATCTGCGTCTACACCTTTTCCAAGAGTACTTCAGAAAGCATCAAATGTACTTCAGAATAGTCATTTGTACTTCAGAAATAGTAAAATGTACTTCAGAATAGTAAATTGTACTTCAGAAAAAGTAAAATGTAATTCAGGATAGTCAATTGTACTTCAGAAACCGTAAAAAGTATTTCAGAAACTGTAAAGTTTTCTTCAGAATAGTCAATTGTACTTCAGAAACTGTAAAAAGTATTTCAGAATAGTCAATTGTACTTCAGAAACCGTAAAATGTACTTCAGAATAGTCAATTGTACTTCAGAAACCGTAAATTGTACTTCAGAAACCGTAAAATTTACTTCAGAAGACGAAAGTTACTATATACATATTGTAATTATTTAAATGGTATATAAAATAGTATTTTTAAATATATTTATTTTTTTAATATATTTTGGGCCATATTCGCCAATGTTGAATCCAATTGAGAATATTTGGTCTAAAATTAAAGCGTATGTTAAGACAAATATTGGCATTCCAGCTACATTTGGTCCGGGCGTTGTCGAGCAAAGGCTCTCGTACTTGGAGCAACTTATTGACGAGGCAAAAGCGACAGTTGTTAATGGAGATTGTGGCAGAGCCATTCAACATTCTACCACTTTTCACCCAGATGCACTATCTTTATTCGATATGCCAGCTGGTACATAATTTAAAACTGCATTAATAAATTAATTGTTTCATTCTTAAATGTATATGTAGTCTGCTAAGGTATGAGTTTAACCTGCTGCAGTAGCCAGAGAGAAGTTGGGCTATTGTGGTTGGGTCCGGTGGTTCTGCGGCTAGAACGGCATTCACAGGTCGTCTAAATAACTCGAGACTGACTCCCTGTGAATGGCGTTCAGGGTCTGTCGATATGCTGACGGATCCAGAGGTTGGTTAATGAACCTCTGGACTTCGTCCATCAGTTCGTAGAGACGCCTCCTGATGTGCCTGGACGAGGGCTCTTCTGCAAGCAGTTGTCTATTTGGGTGACCACGTCTGTGGCTCCCAACTAGAAACTGCTGGCAGAGTTTTGTGTTGTGGTCCTTTATAGGGAGCATTTTCACCTCGTTGTGCAGATGGTGTTTTGGCGACATCAGGAGGCATCCAGTCGCTGTCCGAAGTGCAGTGCTTTGTGTGGTCTGCAGCTTCATCCACTGCGTCCTACTAGCCCCCGGCGACCACACTGGTGCTGTGTAATTTAAAACCGGCCGGCCTATTGACTTATATGTTGTCACCAACGTTTCCTTGCCTTTGTCCCAAGTGCTGCCGGCTAGCGACTTGTGGAACTTGTTGAGGCTCTATACTTTATTGACAATAGCGGTTGCGTACGAAGAGAAGGAGACCAGCCTTTCGAAGGTTACTCCGAGTATTTTCGGGTTATTCACCGTCGGAATTGGTATGTCATCAACGTAGTCTGACCTCTTTCGACCAGGTGGTAAACAGGGTAGCCGAAGATTTTCTAGAGGAAGGTTGGCTCCTAGCAGTGAAGTAGCGAGAAATCTCGGAGAGGTAACCGTTTATCGCCATTATCGAACAATCCTCAGCGTAAGAGACAATCGAGACTCCCTCTGGTGGTTGAGGCAGCTTGGAAATATAGTAGTTAAACAGTAATGGGGAAAGGACACCACCCTGTGGAACCCCCTGTTTTATTTTTCGAGGTTTGCTCGATTTGTCTCTAAACATTACTGATGAGTGTCGACCACTCAGATAATCCGCCGATCTCCGTTTGAGCCGCTGTGGGAGAGAGGAGGCCTCTATGTCTTCTAGCAGCCTTGAATGGCTGACAGTGTCGAACGCATTAGACAGGTCCAGCGCTACTAGAATGGTTCTCTCATAGGGACGGTTTCGGTTAAGGCCACGAGTTATCTGGGTATTTATGGCTGATTTATGCTGATGCTTCGCTGGGGAAAGGAGTGTATCGGGCGATAAGATTTTCCTTTGTTGGCTGGTTTCCCCCGTTTGAGTAGTGGTACCACTCTGATGAGAGTGGCCATTGACATATAGAGGACCTCCGTTAGGTACGCTGCTCCCACAGCACCCAAATTTTTGAGCATAAACATATTCCCTTGGGCCCCATTGCTTTGGAGGCTTTCCCCTTCCCGATGGCCACCTGAACTTCACCACAAGTGAAAGCAAGGGCGGCACAAGTTGTTGGCAGTTTGTGCAGTCTTCTGGTCACTCGACGCTTGGCTTTGTCCACCGGAGGATGCAATATGAACTGCCGGCTAAAATCTTTCTCGCACGCTGTTCACTCTTACCCCTCTTCGGGTGCGCCTAAGACCTGCTTACCCGTTCTGATAACTATCTGAAATCAGAAGCCGGACCAAATCTATTCTTCAGATATATATGTATATGTATACATATGTACTTGAACACATCAAGTATTCAAAACACATTACCCCTAAATAATCAAAACAACAAGCCAGCTAGTCAAACATCAAATGTGGAGTGTGCCGCATCCCAAAGCATGAGACCGGCATACATACTTACATACATTTAAAAAATCGCCGGTAGTCGAATTAACAAAAGAAAAATAAATAAAACACTCATTCAAAATCCTATACAATGCAAATACAATGAGTAACAACAACAACAATAAATAATAACAATAAAGAAATTATCGACTTTTTCGTTCGAGCGCTCTACAGCTTGATAGCCCACAGCGGCAGGCCGGTGACGATCAGTTTTAGCTGAGTTATCGGTGCGACAAGACGGAAACCCAAAAACGGGCTGGCACTGCTGTTGGCGCACATTTCTTTGCTTAGAAATAAAGCAACAAAAACAAAAACGAATAGTTATTTATTAAAATTTAATAGCATTAATTAAGACATCACTGATTTGTGGTTATAAATTAAAAAAAGTGTTGATCGCTCGCGCTTGCTTACGTAACTGGCAAGTGATCGGAAGAAAACGGTTTACGAAACTTGACAAACAAATACGTAGAATAGATTTTTCCTAGAAGCTTCAGAAAATGAGCACGCTGCTGTTCCTGGTTGCCACGGTGGTAGTCTGTGTGCTGCACTCACTGATCCGGTCGCTTAAACGTCCACCAAATTTTCCACCAGGTAAGAAGGCGCGAGTGATGATTGGGTATTTTTTTTTAAATAAATCTACATTATTATTAGTGAGTGAATTAGTGAACTTAAAAGGATGTGTGTTTCACTAGAATTGGCAATAGTTTTCGGAACTTTCCGTACACCCATCTATCACTGGTATCCTCGCGAGGACGGTCCATAAATAACTTTGTGAGTCGGCGATCTTAGGCATGATTCGGACTTAGCTACAGCTGAGCTAATGACGCCAACGGCCGGAATCTTATGTTTTCTTCTGATACACGGGACAGTAGCTCTACTTTAGATTCGTTAAGACACACTTCTCGCACTCCGAACTCTGGGACAAGTAGTCTAAGGACCGTCGATCCCAAAGCATTTTCACTAACGGCTCTAAAATTATAACGGGAGGGATGCCGGGGTATACTGCCGGGAACTGAACGTCAGGTGGGAAGTAAGGTTACCTGACCAGTGCAGGATATTTCAATCAAAGGTTCTAGTTATGTCCACAGCAACAGAGCTAGTCTACATTGAAACGAAAATCAATTTAAAAATAGACTTATACGTAGACAGTCAGGTGGCAATTAAGGCGGTCACCTCATATAGTATTTCATTGAAAAACATCCTGCGCAACCGGGGAGCCATTAACAGGCTGGCCGCGAACAG